CGGCCAAGTTTGGACAATACTGTGTTAAGGTAACCTTACAATAAAGTAGAATTAGTTCATCTGGGCGTGCTTCCTGTTTGGATTACCTCATAAGACTGACAAGACCATCGAGCAGCATTTTGTATCTGATTCCAGAAAGCTGCTTTGGAACAGGCAGGAGTAACCCGCTTGTGGCTCTTAAAAGCAGCCGCTTCTTTTTAAAGCACCGGCTGTGCAATCCCCCCCAAAGACGTGGCTGCTTTAAACAGTTGCAAATAGCCGCTATGTTCAAGCGCCCATTTTGGAATCGAATCCAAAGCATTGCCAGCCCGCCTAGAACTGGTCTCGTGGGAAAGGAGCAAGAGAGGTCAGCATTCAGGGCCATGTTGTTAGATCTCCCATGGCAGCCCGAGCACATGCAACATGTTCTGAAAATTGCACATGACTAGAAGATCCAAAATGCCAACCTTAGGCGCCTTGGTCATGAGCACTCCTGGAAATTGTACATCAGCAACATCTGGAGGGAGGCACGTTATACCCACCCACCCTTTATGGTTTTTAGAGAAAGGAGAGGCATTTTTAAGAAGCTCAGGGAAAGAGGAAGAGGGTCCTCATCAACAGACCAACTTAAAATGTGGCCTTTCTGGTCTGGATATGGGAAATTATCAGCTAGACCCAACCAGGGCTGGTCACTTCATTAAACTGTCCTCATCACACATCAGTCATTTACCATTGATCCAAGGCAATGAGTTTCTTTTTCTTGCTTCCCACAGCTGCAACCACATCCTGGTAAATATTCAAAATGGCCTTCCAGGAGGCTGGATCCTCACATGCATAAAGTCCCCCTTTCCCTGCCATGATCTAAGGCTTCCTAGAACAGAGAAAAACAGAGGAAAATCAAAAATCCACAGAGAAAAATCAAAGTATTCAATAGTAAAGGGCAGAGAACCCACCTTCCTTTTTACGTCCAGATGTTTAAAGCAGCGTTTCTCAAACTCAGCAGCTTTAAGATGCGTGGACTTCAACTCCCAGAATTCCCTAGCCTGCCAGGCTGGGGAATTTTGGGGGTTGAAGTCCACACATCTTAAAGTTGCCAAGTTTGAAAAACACTGCTTCAGTGCGCCTGCTAAAAAGGGAGAATATCTGCATTTGATTACACAATTTAAAATAACATGACTCAAAAGAGAAGGGAACTCTGACTCGTTTTTCCTGTTATTCCAACGTTTGTCTACAC